AAATATCTCACATGGGTAAAAGATCCATCCATAGAGCAAGAGACTCGTGAATTCTTAATGTAACAGAATCTGAAAACTCCGTTGATATGGTTGATAGATTTTACACTAAAACTAATGTGTAACTACCACTTTTGAGCTTGGGTGCAGATCAAAGGACACTGTCTACAATTACCTGCCAAACCCACAGCCATCAAATTGGTTCCGGCTCACAGCCACTTTACAGGACAGGGTAGGACTGTCCCTTTGATTTTCTGAGACTGAATCTTTATGGAAGCAGACAGCCTCATCTTTCTCCCTCAGAGAGGCTGGGAGGTTTGAACTGCTGACCTTGTAGTTAGCAGCTCAATGTATAACCAACCCACTATTCCACCAGTTACCTGCAAGGGTTATTAAAAACACCTCTTTCTACACAGGGCTACACAGGGAAGATGGATTTTCCTCATATGCTAATTGTACTTAAAATATTACATCCTAACGAACTGAATGCAGAAGACATGAGAACCTAATTATTTTCGGCTAAGATAGACATTGCAGAGACCTGCAATATGTTCAACAATGTCTCACTAAATTTGAGGAAGGGGATATAATTATTTTTCCTAAAAATATTATTTATGTTCATGTGTAAAAGCTATGATCATGCTAATGTTTTTGACATTTTTTGTTTTTGTGTTTTGTTTTGTTTTTTGACATTTTAATCCACTAACAAACATTTTTAAATTTCTTTGTTTTAATTTCTAACTCAATAAATACTGAGAGGGGTCCTCAATAATTTTTAAAACTGTAAAAGGGTCCTGAGACGGCAAGATCTGAGAATGGCTACCTTGTGGTTTATAGACTTTTTCTCAATATCTAGACACTGTTGATCCACCACATTTAAAACAAGACTACTATCCTGCTAGCCAGAACACTCCTTGATAATGATTTAATATTCCCAAAGCACACAATCCCAGGATTCCTTCGTGTTACATTAACGAGTCTCATTGAGTTGCTGAACAAATCCCTTCCTTTTTTTCCCTAACTGCTGCCAACTCAAGTCTCCTTCCTCCCACCTCTGCAGTGAGATTTGTGGGGCAAGTGTGACATCCTATCAAGTTGACCCAGGTTTTCAGTCATCGGAGAGCAATCTGTATGGCTTCATCAAAGATGCTGATCAAAGTGTTGGATGTGATAATATTGAGAATAAAGTGCTGAAACCTTCCCCAAATCAATCCAATCAGTGCTGCTCGGACACAGCTGTGCATACAGTTCATGTCCAATGGGCTTTAGGACCACAAAGGATCTCACGGGAATCATGGCCAAATGCCTTGCTGAAACCCCAGTATGTTTGTCATTTTCTTTCACTTCATCGTCTAGGACTTGGTTTGTTAGCTTTGCTGGAATCCAAGGTCATAAACTATCTAGAATGTGCTGATTCCACTCCCCTGTGGGTCATGCAGCGCTCCTCCCACATCCCCTCTTCAGGGCCACTGGGGCCATCCTCCAACTGCTGGAGCTTTAGCGACTGCTGGCTTCACAGTGTGTCCCTCACGAGGAACTGCCCTCCGCTGCACAGAATTGCCTCACCCAAGGTTACTCCCCTCCCCGAGGACCGCCTGGAGCTAATGACTAGCTGATGTGGGAATACAAAGACAGGCCCTTGGCCTCAACTTGGCACAACCCTGAAGTCATCCCAGTCCAGTCTCCTGAGCGTTCAGCTGAGGTCTCAGTCACAGTCGCTTTGTGGCTCAACCGCTGCTCCTGACCAACTCTGCCTTCCTCACTTCCATAGACCTCCTACACGCAATTCACCAGGGAACTACCACCACAAACTATCTCAGAATCCATTTCAGGGAACCCAGCTTAGAAGGCAGCTTTCTACTCTTCCCAGAAAGTTCCTATTTTAATTGTTAGACTCCATTTGGACTGTGGACCAGAAGTTGGCAGTTCAAACCCATCCATCCCTCCACAGGAGAACATGAAAGCTATCTGCTCCTATAAAAACGTACAGCCTTAGAAACACTCCGTATGGTTGCTATTAATTGGAATAGACTAGATATGGCTTTGATTTGTATTTTTAAAGAGAGAATCTCCACACTTGTAAAAAGAAACCCTGGTGGGAATATTGGGACTGTTCCCTCCGAGGTAGGTGGTTCAAACCCAGCAGCTGTTCTAAGGAAGAAAGATGAGGCTATCTGTCCCCATAAATGTTTATAACCTTGGAAAGTCTACATAAGGTCACGGTGCAGTGGAATCAACTAAATGGCAGTAGGCTTTAATATCTCTCATCTTTCATATTTCCCTCAAAATAAGAGATAACTGTGCAACCACTTAGGAAGCCCTGGTGGCATAGCAGTTATGCGTTGGGCTGTGATCCACAAGGTCAGCAGTTCGAAACCACCAGCCACTCTAAGGGAGAAAGACGGCTTTCTACTCTTCTTAACGGTTACAGCCACAGAATCTCAGAGGCAGTTCGACCCTCACCGACAGGAATGCTATGAGGTGGCATCGACTTGAGGACAGTGAGCTTTTTGAGTTGCGTACAATCACCGAATTGGCGAGTTTTTTAGTCTTATATCCTGGCTTTCTCTGGGCCCATGACAAACACAGTTCCCACTTTCTTTCGTGTACAGATCCAACGTCCCACATTTTAGGAAGCTTTCCCAAACCCCTACAGGCAGCGTTCTACCCTTCCATCTATGTCCTCACAGCCCTTGGCGTGGCCTCCTCATTCTTTCTGTACCATCCCACTGCCTCCGAGTCTCTTCCAACTCACGGATGGAGTGGGACTGCTCCTCTGGTGTCTGACGCTGGAAATCTTTACCGGAGCAGACTGTCTGTCGCCTCCTGTACCACTTGGCTTCCTCATTCCTCTTGTGGAGTACTATAAATACTTGTCTATTAGTCCGCTTCTCCTGTAGGTGTGAGTTCCACAGGCTATATTTCTATTCCATAGATAGCCTAACACGGGAGTTGGAATATGACGTTTTTCGTGTTTGTTAAGCAAGCACTATGAAATTCTGCTAACTACATGCTGTATTGGAATCCCTCTGCATCTGTTATCCCTTATCAGCCTCCTCGGTGGGAAGAGAACTCTTGGCAGCAAAGGAGCCAATAAAATATAAACCGAGTTCTGCTTTCTCAGGACTATTGCCCATGATAAATTTTGGACTAAAATTCACAGAACCTGTCTGTCCATCTGCACTTGGCACATTCTACAAACTCCAGCTACTTTCATATGTTCTTTGCGAGTTGGTGTTTCAATTGCTGGTACACGTCCCTTTACAAGTTGCATCCAACAGACAGATTGTAGCACAAGGACATTACTTGATTTTAACATCCCCTCCACCTCTTTTCCCCATTGAAATTATTTGTCATTTAAATTCAAACAACATTTTAAAAATACTTGTTTCTCTTAATAATACACATGTAGGCTTATTCTTTATTGGCCCCATTGGAGAGCTACCTTCTCAAAATTTAAGCAAAAGTGCCTGGCTAATACTCGCGATCATGGATTCTAAGATGACAACTGCTTTAGCCCAAGTTTTCTCTACCAATTGTGTCTGCAAACAGGGGGAGTTCCCCTATTTACTTCCTATGTCATCTGCCTGATTCATTTTGAGCATGCCACATCCATATCTAAACTATACCAGACAAGATGCTATGGTTCTAACTGGTTGCTGCGTTCTCTCCCCCTCCACATC